GTTTTTTTATTTCAGAAAAAGCTTTAAAGAAGGTGGAGTCAGAGACAGAAGAATGAAATTCCTATTTAAATATGCATTTTCACCTATATTCTCAGAAAATTTGCATTTCTGAAGTATTTTCTCAGAAAACATGCATATTTTAAATGCATATAGTGTCCCAAATCAGCATTTTGTCCAGATCAGCATTACCCCCATCTCCTATTTTAATTGTTAAATTGTTGCACTGTTTTAATAGACTTGTCTTATCATAAACCTTAGTTGTGAATGTTTATTTTAATGTTTCAACTGAATTGATTTATTTGTGTTCTTATTATGCATCTTTCTATTTTTATTTTTATTTTTATTTATTTTTTGTAGCTGCTTTTATACTTGTCACCCACTTAGAGGCCACTTTGGCAGTTGTGGCATATTAATTAATTGATTGCACCCCTCTCTCTTGTTTCTTACACTATTTGTAGGGGGCGTTGAGCCAAGAACTGCATCACACAGGAAGGACATAGGATGCTGCTTTATATTGAGTCCACCTAGCTCAGCTTTGTCTACATTGACTGACAGGAGCTCTCCAGGGTTTCAGGTAGAAGTCTCTCCAAGTCCTACCTGGAGGTGCCAAGGGAGATGCCTGGGACTTTCTGCATGCAGAGCAAATGCTCTACCACTGAGCTATGGTCCTTATTCCACCAAATTCAGAGAAATGTGAAACCCAAATGATAACTGTGTTGTCATTTAGACATTAGTCCAAGAGCTGCTGATCAGATGTGTTTGCACTGGAATTCACAAAGAGCAGGACACGGGTGGCACTGTGGGTTAAACCACAGAGCCTTGAGCTTGCCGATCGGAAGGTCGGCAGTTCGAATCCCCACAATGGGGTGAGCTCCTGTTGCTCGGTCCCTGCTCCTGCCAACCTAGCAGTTCGAAAGCACGTCAAAGTGCAAGTAGATAAATAGGTACCGCTCTGGTGGGAAGGTAAATGGCGTTTCTGTGCACTGCTCTGGTTCACTGCAGAGCACCGCAACCCCAGAGTCATCCGCAAATGGACCTAATGGTCAGGGGTCCCTTTACCTTTACCTTTACCACAAAGAGCAAATTGTTCATGCATTCCAACCTCAAAGTACCCATTGATGGGGGATAACAACAGGAGAGAGTTATTGCCTTTATGCCCTACTCCTGGGCTTCCCAAATGCCTCTGCTTTGCTCCTGTGGGAAATAGGATCCAGCAGGGCTCTTCCATTGTTCTCAAGAAGACTGAACTAGAAATTTCACTGTATATTCAGATGCTGCCAAAAATGGCAACCCACCACAATAACTAAACTATTCTCTTGTCTATGCCTAGCCTAAAGCACTCAGTGTTCCCAAGCAGTTTCCCATCCAAGTACCAATCAGGCCTAATCCGACTTAGCTTCTAAGTTCAGACATGTTCAGGATGTTATGGCTGCAGGAGTTTGGTACATCCAGTTTTAAACAGCCAGGCAAGTAAACCCTGCTTGTGTTTCAAGGTAATATGCCAGTGCTTTTGTTACAGGTCCTCCAAGTTTCTCATTCCAAGTTACTGCTGGAACGAAATAGCATGCAGAATATTATTTTACCAGAAACATTATGTATACCACCATTCTGGGAAATTAAGGTACATGCAGTGCTTTGCAAGCTTCTTACAGGTCAAGTGGACCCATAATTCCTACATTTCCCTGGGCGTATTCTAGCATTAAACTGGGACAAATGGACCTAGTCTTCATGCACATGCAAACTAAAATGCTTTTTTATGGCTTTTGAGTGCTTCTTTTATACTCATAATATTTTTTCTAGCAAGCTTTCAAGGGACAAGAAAAACCCATAATGAGAAGCTATGGGCTGGATGTTGCCGAACGATTTGTACTGCACACGCTCTCATTAATTTACCTTTAGGCTCACAGAACGGGCCCTTTGCATATGGAAAAAGAAAACATGCTTGCCAAGTATTTTAACTGGGGTGGGTGGGGAGACAAAGTCTATTTCACTTTGTCAGTGCATGTAAATACTTTCCTCTTTCAGCCAACAGATACACATCAGAAATCTTTAACTATATGCTTCAAGAGTATTTTCAACAAGAATTTAACCATAAGGCATAGGAGAAGAAAAGTAAGGATTTGCATAGACAGTTCTATCGCCGCCCCCCCCCCCCCATATCTGAACTACTTTTGGGAGACACTTGTGAGCAACTCTAATCTTTATGCATCTGCAGTGTTACTAAAATGTTCTTAGTTCATATAGTCCTTTTGCAGTTTCTTGATGGATACTATCCGTATTCCTACTGTAGCAGGGGTGATGTGGTGCAGAGAGAATGAAGATACATCACAATTAGTTCCTTTTCCTGTGACATCTTTGGTTTTCAAGCATGGTTGAATTCTTTAAACTGGGAAGCTACATTTTTAATGAAGTACACATTTTTTAATAGCCAGCATTAAGTACTTTTAAGTCCCATTGATCTGAATTGTCGAGAGTTAGACCAATGCTAAAATCTTCCATTGACTTAGAGGTACTTAATTTGAGACACATTTTGCCTTTTGCCTTATATTTAAAAACTTAAATATAATACATTTAGGATACACTTGGGGAAATATCTGGATTTATGGTAACCATTTCCTGCTCTATAGTAATTTTAAGGGGATATGGTTACAATATAATGATTTGATATTTTGGGTGGCGCTGTGGGTTAAACCATAGAGCCTAGGACTTGCCGATCAGAAGGTCGGCGGTTCGAATCCCCATGACGGGGTGAGCTCCCATTGCTCGGTTCCAGCTCCTGCCAACCTAGCAGTTCGAAAGCACGTCAAAGTGCAAGTAGATAAATAGGTACCGTTCCAGCGGGAAGGTAAACAGAGTTTCCGTGCGCTGCTCTGGTTCGCCAGAAGCTGCTTAGTCAAGCTGGCCACATGACCTGGAAGCTGTACACCGGCTCCCTCGGCCAGTAAAGTAAGATGAGCACCGCAACCCCAGAGTCGGCCATGAATGGACCTAATGGTCAGGGGTCCCTTTACCTTTTTTTAGTTGACATATTGTTTAAAGTTCCTGGCACTTATAATCCTTTATGCTGCAAAAGTAGAGAGGAAAGAAAACGTTTCTATCATCTATAGCAGTGATGGCCAATCTCGGCCCTCCAGCTGTTTTGGGTCTACAATTCCCATCATCCCTAACCACTGGTCCTGTTAGCTAGGGAGTTGTAGTCCAAAAACAGCTTGAGAGCCAAGTTTGGCCATCACTGATGTATAGTGAACTTGGCCATTCATGCAATTTATAGTATTGCTGGAATATTGTACAAATTTGTACAATATTTGAAGCTTTTGATCATTATTATTTTATATATGAGAACCAAGCACAGGAGTTAGCTAGACTTGCCAACTTACATAACAACAGCAACTATCATATGAAGAATATATTCCAAATATTGAAGAATGAAGACCTAGAGGACTGTGTCTTAGTAACATAACACATGCATTGCATGGAAAAGATCTCAAGTTCAAACCACATCATTTTCATGTAGTGCTGGGAAAACTTCTGCCTGTAACTTCAGAGAGCCACTGCCATTGTTGACAGTACTGAGCTAAATGACCTGACTTGGTATAAGGCAGCTCCCTATGTTCCTAAGTTATTAGGTCTCTTCTGCAACAAGAAAAGGGGTAAATAAAATATGCACAATTATGGCCAAATTGAGTCATTATGTAAGAACTAAGGACAACCATGGGGCTACCTTAGAAAAGTTTTCAGAACTTTTCATGTGGTCCAGAATTCAGCTGCAAAGATCTTGGTGGGCTCACTTCCCTGGGTCCAATTTGCATGGTTGCCCATTTGCTTCTAAGCACAATTCATACTGCTCATGATATTCTTTTAAAAGCCCTAAATGGCTTAGGTCATTAGAATATCTTAGGGATGACTTCCCATTCTATCCTGTCTGCTCCCAAACCTCAGGAGGAGTGGCCTTTTCATGAGTCCCACCGAGTGTTGAGGCATGGCTGGGTTGAGACAAGAGAAAGGGACTTCTCAGATTATGGAGCATCTTGCTACTTCCATCACTGTTTATTCCTAAGCCCCTTTCATGACTGAATCAAAGAAAGCACCACATGATCACTGGGAGCTGGGACTCATTGCTGACAACACACCCCTAACATCCACACTTGTGAGAAGCTCAGACTGTCCATGCCCTTGTTAGCCGCCCCATGCCCACTAATAACAAGGAAGTTCTAAAGAGTCCCATGGTGCACTTCAGGTCTTCATCTGGTGCCTACGAAGCCTCTGAGCTCCCCACTCACTGTCCCCTTAGTCATGATGAGTTATTTTACCCTTTCCTCCCTTGAAAATGCATAGAGTTGACAGAGGAAGTGAGACGAGTGGCCTTCTTTCCCACTTCCTCTTTCAGATGAATTCTATCGGATACAAGTTTTACTGAGCTCTCTTTGAAAAACAAAGTGACACATCTGTCTGCATGTTTACTCTCTTGGGCAAGGATGGGTGATCTGTGGGAGTGAGGAGAAAAGTGTCCAGAAATCCCCATCACTGAAAAATCCAAATGTGACTTTCAAAGGTTGGTGACACCTAATTAGGAATTCTCCATTGTTTGAATTACAAAAAAAATGCAAGAAAAGAGTGTGTGCATGTATACATGCATTTCTTTTTCTTTACAAAATTCCAATAAAAGGTTATTTCAGTTCACTTCTCTCTCCCCCCCAACCGTCCATGTTACTGTAATATATGCAAATCACATCAAAGTTGCTTTTCAGATGGAAAGAATATAAAAACCATTCCTGCTTATTGGGACAAAACCATATGACAAATAAATCATCATTAGGCTTAAACTATTTATTGAGCTAACTGCTGAGCTTCAGAATATTTTAAGACTCTCAAAAAATGTGGAAGCACACCTATCTGCTGTTCCCCCGTCCCTGAAAATAAAGTGGATTTTTAAGAGAGAGGAAGGAGGACGAGAAAGAAAGAAAGAAAGAAAGAAAGAAAGAAAGAAAGAAAGATGTTACCTTGTTGAATAATGCCAGTAATCACTGCAAGGTAGACTTCTGGATCATGATTAGTGGTAATCAACAGATTGTGTGGGTCTATATTCAGTATTTGATAGATAGTGTCTGAACTTTCAATCCCGCAAAGCAAAATAACCACCCTTTCAGGAGGCTGAAGGATCTTGTCCAGAAAACGCTTTTTCTTTTTGTTCAGACAATTAACAAGTCCACTTGAAAGTATCAGCAGTTTACATCTGTAAGATCCCAGGGATGGCAATCCCAGGGGGTGAATGAACGGAGATCCCATGTTGTAAAGCAAGATTCTGTCCTCTGATAAGAGATGCTTGAAAATTGTTTTTAAATACAGTGCCCATTCCTCTGCATCTTCTTCATGGATAATAACAAGACTGCTCTGTGCATTTTCTGAAGAAGAAAAAGAAAAAGATTTACAGATAGGTGTCACTTTATATCAGTGGCTAATAATTTCAGATGCGATTAAAGATTGGTTCACACAAGCCCAAACGCATTCCATTCATGAAGGAATTAGCATGAAACTTGCATGAAAAATTGCCATGTTTGGATCAGACCTGATATATCCATTGACATTGGTGATCTTTAGAAAATACCATACTGAGCCCAGGGGATTTTGCTGCCTATGGTGAAGGACAAAATGGCAGCTTCCAGTCCATGTACAACAGCTAACTGGACTGGCAGTTGAATATTACTGAGCAATGCTGGTAGCCTTCCAAAGTCTCTTGCTAAGCTTTCTTTCACCTGAGCAAGGACCTCCAAATTCACACTGAATTTCATCTTAGGCAAAATCCAGGGCAGACGTACTATTAGCCAGAATGAGTTGACCATGAGTGCAGCAGCAGCAGCAGCTGCCCCTAACAATTCCTCCTGACCCCACCAGTTATTCTCTTCTGTTGGAAGACAGAGCTGTATGGGTCATGCACAGTGAGAGATGGCTGTATTTTGTTTGAAAGGCCGTCATCTGACAGTCCTCTAGTTGAATGGATGCCGAAACCATGTCCAGTTTAAAAGTAAAGAACCATAAGAGCCAGGAGTCTTCAAGCTGCCCATCAACAGCTAACATCTAAATAACAGAATGAGCAGGCATACAGATCACCTGGTGATGATAACAACAACAACAACAACAACAACAACAACAACAACAACAACAACAACAAATTTATTACTTGTATCCCACCCATCTGCCAGGCCTCCCCAGCCATTCTAGTCTTCCCCACTATGGTGAGACATATTTTATTTCTGGTTAAATAATACTCATTACACACAAATTTCATATAAATCTCTTTTCTCTTTTTTGCTGATGCATTCTCCTTTTTGGGGAGTGGGGTTGGGATGCCAAACTGGCCACTGTGCTCAGAAGGTCGAGGCATCTGAAGGGCCTCATCCTCTCCAGTACAAGTGAACGTTCAGGCTCTGGGCTTCTCAGAATATTAAAAGGGAGACGGTTGCTGAAGCTCATGCATTAGCTTTTGTGAAGCTTTTCCCAGGATCCTCTTTGCTTGCAGGCAGGAAGTGAGTTTCTCATTAAAAAATAACAATCAAATCTTAACGTTAGGTCTCCACAGTTCCACACCGGTTTGCAATTATTTTTTAAAGCCCTCATGAAAATTCATCAGTGTTCCTGTAAAAATTTCTCCTAATACACACATGCTTCCTTGCAATGATACCCACACGTATTGTATGCATTTTGTACATATTCCATGGCTGGGAGAACTGCACTGTAAAATATGTACAAGTGTGAATTTCAAATGATGCCTGTGTTTCAATTTGTACTGTTTGAAGAAGTATGAGTTAGGTAGATTCACCTTTAAATGTGACCTGAATTGATCTTTTCCCCCCTATCCCTGTTCTAGCCTGACAAGATTCTGAAGAAGGACAGCTGCAATTGGAACTCCTCCTTGACGCAAGGCCGTGAGATTTTTCACAATAAACTAAAAATGAACAATACTGTACAGACAAGAGTTAATCCTGAGTTCCTTCTCTGGACTGTACTTTTCCTGGGATGTCTTGTGCTCCTTTTTTATAGGTCTGCATATAAACATGTTTTTTTAAAAAAATAATCTCACGTTAAATTAAAGCAGACAGGCTTCACATTTATTTATTTTTGGGAGCTTGGCTGCATTGTGTGGAGGTAAAATGAAGTGACATGTGAAGCATAATCTTACCTGTGACATGGCTACTGTAGAGAATAAGAGCCTATTAGCTGCACTAGGTCTATTGATCATTAACAATGTGTTGCATGGCACAATGTGACACAACAATGAATATAGGTAGTTCAATTGCTCCAGGCTTATTTCTGCAGGAAGCATAATAGGACTGTGCTCCCACAGCAATTGTCACACTGTACCACAGCTGGAGACAGCGAAGAAAAGCAGCCCAAAGCCATGTTTTGTAAAGGTTTTTTAAAAAAGAAAATTAAAAAGAGGGCATGAAATGCACCCTGCTCTTGACTACAATACTGTCATTTTACTTGGTTACTGGTGGTAGAATTCTACTAGAATTGTCATATAGCTAGTTCAGATTCATGCCACATAATTAACTGCAACTATAATATAATAGGACATATTTACACATTATTGCATGTAGGAATATGCACTAGCCTAGGCATGTCTCCTCAGAGGTAAGTCCTATTGAGTTTAACGGGGCTTACTGCTAGGTAAGCATGTCTGAAATCCCACACACCAGCTTTTCAAAACCTCATGCCGTCCAGATCTTTAGGACTGCCAATCTCATCAACGCTGACCATTGGCCATGCTGGCTAAGGCAGATGGGAGTTGTGGTCCACAAGAGGGCACAAGACTGGGGAACACTGACTTAAGCCCCACTGAACACAGGAATATAGGAAGCTGTCTTAAACCCATCAGAGAATTGGTCCATCTAACTCAGTATTGTCTGCCCAATGGGTATTGGCTCTCCAGGATTTCAGACAAGAGACCTACCTAAAGATTCCAGGTACTGAATAAAGGATCATCTACCATTGTTTGAATTACAGGAGACAGGCAAAGGAGGATCACCCCAAGCTTTTGTGATGGCTCATTAACTAGAGTTTTTGAAGGCTAAAGAGGGCTAAAAAATGGGGAAGGGTAGACAATGGATTTCAGTAATGGTCCCCTAATTCTTCCTTCGTAGTTTCAGCACTGACCTCTACATGCTGCTGCTGCAGTAACAGGCAACTCCTGCATTTCATGTATAAAATGTAAGTTAAGGGGAATGTTGCCCTCTTAAAACTTAATAGAACCTATCACACTTTGACAAAATTAAGCTATGCTTCACCTGTTTTGTACTTGGAAGCCCTGTGGAATAAAAATGTATTATTAGTTCTGCAATGAGGAACAAGAGGCAATTGTGTGCTGTCATCCAGAGCATAATAGGAGCTTTCTGACAAGGTAAAGCATTCTCTAGGTTACTGGTGCGCGGCCACCCATAAAGGCGTAATATAACAGAACCACCAAATGTGCCATCTAACCATTGCTCAGAAAGAAATATTGATTCTGTGACGTTGAGGAAATACATGAGCATTTTCTTTTGTGATATATGCAGGGGATATAGGAGGGGATGGGAGCAGGCCGGCAGCTAGGGATGGGACACAAATTCAATGTAGGTTGCATTTAAAAGCAAACCTATCTTATTTGCACTTTCCAAAACAATACACAAACTGAAACACAGCAGTCCTCCCAAACTGGAACTTCTCCAAATTTTGCAATGCTGCTCTCCAGCCAAGTAATATGTACAAAAAAACTGTGCTCTACCATGATGCTATAGGCAATAATGTGCATATATCACCAAATATAATATACAGAATGCATCATATTGGAATCAATTACTTTGCAAAAATGTGCACATTGGACAAAGTTGCATACAAAAATATGCACATGGTGAAATTTCATGAGGGCTCTCTTTAAAAAGACAACAAACTTTTGCAAACTGATGTGGAAATGTGGAAAACCGTTCTTAAGATTGGAGGAACAAAAAACTGAGATAAACCAAAATCCACAGACTCACCCATCCCTATGCTCTACCATGATGCTATAGGCATTTCTCCCATGCATTAAAAAGTCTATAAACTCAATCACCCATGTCTTTATAAGATTAAAGAAAGAATTTCCCAACACAAGAACACAGCAGTCTTGGCTCCAGAAAGCAGTGTTCTCCAGCCAGCACCTTGCTTGATTACTAAGAGCACTCTGAAGTTTTATAAGCAGCCTTTAATCATCTTCCTTTCCATTAGTGGCACATTTCTTTGAAGCCATATGACTTAGACCCCCCACCCGCATCATTTCCCATTATGAGAGAGCGCTGCTAAAGTGCTTTGGGTTATTCTACCCATACCCTAAATTGATTTCGGTTTTGCCATCTATGAATTTGCCATCTAACAGTCCACCAGCCTAGAGATGCTAGAAGCATACATGTGTTTACTTTTTGGATGAAAAATAGTGGTGAGAAGTAAGGTTGCTTCCCCTCCTCCTTAGATAGCGTGCAGTTCCTGGTTCTCAGCCAGAGAGAATACTTCTTAATATGCAAGATGAATAGAATAGAAAAGAAAAGTAACTCGATTAATATTGCCTTTTCCTGTTAGTCTGGTTGAAAAAGGTGCAGATGGACACATTCACTTCCAAGCATCCAGTGGTTGCTTTCCATATCATAGAACCACAGAATTGTTGGAAGAGACCCTGAAGTTCAACTATTCCAACCCCCTGCAATGCAGGAATCTTTTGCCCAACATGTGACTCAAACCTACAACCCTGAGATTAACAGTCTCATGCTCTACCGAATGAGCCATTCCATATCTGGGGAAAGTGCTATAGTTTAGTGGTAGAACATCAGCTTTGCCTACAGAAGGTCCCAGGTGCAGCCCTGGGCATCAAGCCAGTTTATGGCCGCCATGGAAATGGTAAATTCCATGGTAGGTGGTATTAAAAAGACTTTTTCTACAACCCATTTTCTGATAGCAACTGAGGGCGAGTCAATGAAAGATGCAGAAGGCTTGAGATCCTTATGGTACCTATTCACCAAAGTCTCAAGTCTAATTCACACTTGCATGCTCACTTGATTATCAGTGCTGCACAACCATCACTTGTGTATTGGAACATCAAGTGATGGCTTCTCTGTGTGAATGGGGCATCACAGACAGAGCAATACAGACAGAAAGTTCATATCAATTCGCACACAGTGGAATCCATATTATCAACATAGTCACTAGTTTTGGGACCACCTCCCTCGCTTCTTGCATGACCCGTTGACCTCCAAGAGCTGCCCCTTATCATAAGACATGCTGCTTGTTAAATTATCTCAGAAATGGTAGCACTATCATCCCTTCTCCATTTTCAAGGATCTAGAAAAGAAATGTGGTGATTTCAAAGTGACTTTAACACTGATCAATTGTGGTATGGAGAGGGAACCCTATTACCCACCAAATAGCTAAAGAACAGGCTATGCAGCCAACAGTCATCAATACTGGGTGGAAGGGAACAGCTCGAAAGGACTACTAAGTGCACTCTGATACACTCTACAAAGTGTAATAATTCATGTGCATTGTGTCCTTGGGATTTTCTGCCTGGCATGCTTCCTGTGTGTATTTTCAACGAGTAGGTTTTGACTTTGTGGACTAGGAATTAGAATTGGAGTCAGCTTAGGACTTGGTTCCACATTGTCAGTGCTGAAGGCCCGGCTTTAAATCTGGGACAAAAAGAGGTTGTGTGAATTTCAATAGGTGCTGGTGTTGAATGGTTTCTTTAAATGTAAATGTTCATCATTGTTCCAACCTGATGTTTATGTCT